AGAATACATTGGGCAAACGTTGCAACCTATTCACTTAGCAATATTTGCCGATGGCACGGGCCAAATTGTTTCCACCCATACAAGTATAATACGCGCTCGAATCTATTCAACCATTCATCTATCTACGGTACGATGAATTTACGAGATCCTCGGGGACCGCGAGATCACCTGTAGAAAATCAAACGTTGCCGTCACATAACGCCACACTCCAATTTTTAGCAAGGGCGCATAGAATCTTCTGCCGAGAAGTTACGCATACTAAGGAGAACTATTTTTATACGTTAGGTAGATGCAAGCGAGTCGAAAAAAATTAATTAATAAATCATAATTTCAGATATTATGTAGTAATATTATCATCTCTTTTTTTTTTTTGATTTCCTGATAACAAGAGTTTCTGTCAAATAATTGTTCGACAAATTGGTTTCTCATTATGGAACATTCTGTATTTTGAATACAGCAGAACTTTGTCTATCTGAAACTCGTTTCGAACCAATTAAACGTTGAACCTCAGCTCTGCGAACTTATAATTGATCAACTTCCGTTATTTTCGTCTATTATTGTCCAAAACAAATAAGAATAGGATATGAAAGAAGCCAGCGAATTTCCATTGGATCTTGTATCTCGATCTCGTAATTGACTTTTTGGCTGTTTTTCTTTCTCTGCTCGAGCGTTGAAAGATCAAATTGAATTACTTACTAGCTCGGTACATCTTTTCGATAACGTCCCTCGCGTGGATCTCGATCACCGCGATCGCTTTGAACTTCAGTCGTTCGAGATTAGTCAACTCGCCTCTGATCGCTTCTGTGTACCTGGTCAATGCTTGGTTCTGTCGTTTTCGTAGCTTTTTCAGTGGTCTTCTCGAATCCACCAGTCTTTAAATATACAATTTAATCACGAGGCACAAGCTATTGTTAATTCTCTAGCAACAAGATAATAACTATGGTTGAATTATAAAAAAAAAGAAACAAATTGCGATTAAATTGAGGAATTATTCCGTTACCGATGTTAAAAAATTCTCTAGTCACAAGT